AATCTGAGCGTTGATTTCAAACCCGTATTTACTAAAGTTGTTTCAAGAAATTTGAAAGCGTCATTATTGTGAAAATAATGACGCTGTTTTCCAAATAGAAAAAATGAAACCACTCTGATTCAAATAGTCCTGTTTAGTTGAGTTTCACGGCTGAAAACTATAATAATTTCCTTGGATGAAAGGCATTTAAAGTGTGTCGTTCAAGTCTCCTTAAAAAAACAGTACAGGAGATAACATTTTCCATAATAATCACACCTGCTTTTCTCGAACTATTGTGCAGAATTGCAAAGGAATTTGTACCTGCGTAATCAAGAATCCTGTAAAATTCTTCTTATTTTTAGCCATTTGTGGTGGGAAAATCTTGTCCAGACTTTTAAAACCACTTTAGGAAAGCTTCGTCGATTGAAACATCATTAAAGAACCATTTTCATACATTACTCACCGGGATTCCTTCGCTTGGAAGATGTTAGTTAATAATTTACAGCGTGTACAAAGCTTAATTACGCCGTCTGTACAAATGTCTATAATTGTTAGCCGTTGTAACAGAAAAATGAAATTTTAATCATCGTTCATCCCTGAGCATGCGCTGAGCGCAGCATGACTAACGTGCACTTGTACCAAATCAGTCAGCGATATTGTTCGAACAAATGTTACTTTACTTCAAATCTTACAGACTAAACATGTTAACATAAACATCATATGTTTTTAAGAAACTAACTGAGATGCATATATAGTTCTTTGCCAATCAACAAAGTTACATTTAGTACCAGGAATGAAAAAAAATCCGTTAAAGATAAAATTTCTTAGGCTGCTATTAAAAAAAGCCTCCCTCCTGCAAAATTATCAACTGGTGAATTACTGCAACGCTCACTTTGTTCCTTACAGAGGATGGGGTAGAAAGCTCCTCCTTATAAGTACATATTAACCTCTTTTAACCCATAATAATTTGAATTTCATGGTATGTAATCATACCAGAAGTATAAAAACATATTAATGAACATATTAATGAAGGGGGTAACTTTCTATAGAAACTGTGGTGCTGCGACGGCAGGAGAGTATAACAGGCTAATCAACAGAATTGATAACGTAAATTAGCCACTGCTAAGAGTTTCAAAGCTGACGTTTCGAGCGTTAGCCCTTCGTCAGAGCGAATTTAAAAGCATAAAACCATACCCTCGATTATTTGCTTCTCATATATATATACATATGTGTGTGCAGATATAAATATACACGTTTTCAAAAACGTGGCAATATCTATTATATTTGATATAATTGTATCAACATATATATATATCCATACATATTAAATTTTTGTATCTTTTGTTCTCTTGTCAGAAAGTGTCTCTTTTTGATAAGGAAGTAAAAGGTTTATATATTTAATACATGTTTTCAAATGTGCAACGTTTTTGAAAACGGTTGTATGTACATATATATGAATTTTTTGCTTCATACTTGGAGACAAGTCAATTGTCTGTTGTTTTTTGTGGAACTTAGTTAAAAATAAAAATACGTGGGACGTTATTTTTTGACCGTAATAATTTAAAAATTTACTGTAAGTGAAAATCAGTGGAAATGAACATTGAGTGTAAATAAAAACATCGAGACTGTTTGACCGGTGAAAAAGTTCTTCGAGATCTGGAACTGATCGTGGCAAGCGGGGTAAAATGGTTAAATCTGAAAGACTAGTTTAAACCCTGTTTTAAACCGCTTGATTGTTAATATTGAGGTGCTCTTTCGACGGCTAACGGTAAAAATTCATCTTGGCTGACGGTTGACGGCTAAATTTCTAAGGCCGTTTGACGACTGACTAGCGAACTGAAAGGACATTCTTGAACGCGAACTGAAGCCAAGCCAGACTGGAATTTTTTTTCTTCACCCCTCATTACGTTCTTTGCTTGGAAGCTCTTAAGAATTAAGATAAACTCTTGGAAGTTACTTTCGTTCACATCATGTTATTACAGAAGTGAATAGTTCTCTCTTGCGCTTCAGCTCTGTTGAGGGGAACAACCTAGCTTGTGTACGACAAATCATCATTTGATTCTTATCGCAGGAGGTAACGGGGAATGTTGAAGAAAATCTAAGACCACTCATTCTTTAAATGAAATTAAACTTACCGTGAGAGGTCCAAACTCTATTTGCGAAAAAGTATCAAATAAGCACGGCCCATACGGGCAAGCAATATATCCCTTTACATATAAAGACTAGATCGACAACTTTATATGTAATTTTGCCTTTAATGATTCACGTAGTAAGCCGGGCTCAGGATTGCGTACAACAGCGTTGACTGAGTCATCGATCGATCTTCCGCCCACAGACTACTCAGCTGATAAGGTTTGCGTGTATCTCCTACACATGAAAATATTATGTAGCTTAAACGCGGTAACTGGGAAAAAAAAAACGTTGACGACCACATTTAAGCCGTCACATGAAGTTAAAAGATCGACTAGTGAATATTCACCGATCAATTTACGACACGCAGCGCATCCTGTAGGGAAAAGGTTCTACTCTTTCATTTTCGAATTCAATCGTCATAACCAGCCGCGAAACTTCGATACATCGATAATTGCACACCGGCAATTTCTAAAGCCAGAGAGCTCTAATTTCTTCCCCACGAGTGACGTATTATCAAGTTTTTTTATGTTCCACCTCTTCGCCATTTTGCCATATTAGGATGGCGGAACGCGCAAAATAACCCACGCTACATATTACGCTAAAAAATAGGCCAAGAATACAGATGGAAAGTGGATCAACAAAATGTAATGGTAGAATTCGTTTTGTTTTGTGGGCTTGACCTTTTTACGAAACGAACATTAAACCTATCAAACTGTTTATTTTTGACTAAGAACACTTTGATGGTTTCGTCTTTCATGCAAGAAATATGTGATCCATACGATAGCTTTCAAAAACTAAGCTAAAATAATTGAAAGTGAAATAAAAGTATTATTAATTATTGTTCGACGGTTTAGCATGTAATACGAGAGGATATTTTGCTAATTGCTGGTTTTTTTCCCTGCCCCTACAGGGCTACAAAAAATTCTATACAACGTGCTAATATCCACGCGCTTTTTTTGCCAAAACATCGAAGAAGCTGAGGTGTTTACAATACCCGTTGACACTAAATTTTTGAGCCGCGATGCGAAGAGGTCAAAATTAGGCATTACACTAGTTTCAGGAGGCTGCAATTGGGCCAAAACACCTTCGAACATTGATATTCAAGCGCTATGCTGCCATTAAAAATGGTTTAATTTCAGGATTCATTTATCATTTAAAACTCGGCGAGACTCTCTTTTGAAGCCTTTAAAGATTTATTTATTTCTTTTTAGTACTAATATTGTGCGCACATCTAAATCCCTTGAAGGGCTTGAAATTTCTTCAGTAATTTTTTAAACTTTCTATTTTTCCTCTTCATACATGAATTAGTTATTATTGGTAAAACAGGTGTAACGGAAATCGTCCAAAAAATAACATATCATACAGTTGTCGTGGTAACCAGTGTATTTCCTTCTCAGCGCTGTTTTCGATTCTTTATCCGGCTGGCGAGTGAAAACTACACCAGACGTAGTTTATTGTTCAAAAGTCTGCAAATAATTCAGGTAAGAGAAACTTAAGAGGAGAAACTACGTAATTTCGTCGCTACCAGTTCGAGCTCTTTCTCAAAAAATATGTGAACTATTGTTTTGACGCACAATATTTCTGGTCTCCACTATAATGCTTGAATGTTTCGTTCGCATAAATTGTTACGGTTCTGAATATTCGTTACATTTATTTTCAGTATTTTCATCTATTTTTCCGACGTTATTATTTGTTTTTATGTATTGTCATCTTTATTGTTAAAACCCTTAGAAGTCTCTGGCTTCTTAAATTATTGGCATTCAGTTTAACAAAACTGATTGCAAAATTGTTAACGCGTTGCCGCTCATCAAACAGTCAACTTAGTTGTCATCAACAATAACATTTGTTAACATAACGGAAAAATTCATAAAGCGCTTGCTTCCTCCGTTCGTAGATTAACTTCATTTAAAAACATTCAGGAAGTACTGTGTTCTTCGAGGGAAAAACCGCTCTACACCGAACAATTGCAAATAAATGAAAACAGCCGGCGAAATAATGATGGCAATTTTTTTTTCAAGAATCGTTCTAGAAGCCTTAACATAAAAAAAAACGTTGGCATTTCTTTAGATTCCTTTAAAATTGAAAGAGATTTTGGAGAATAATCTCAAAAAAGATTTCTCAGTACCAAGGGAGCGTAGACTATGGGTTGAAATATTGTTTCAGGTGACCAGTTATGGTCTTATTTACTCAATACTGTCGAAAACATGGGTTGATAGTTGCTAAAATGAACAACAGCGGATATTGTAGCTAACTTTTTGAAGAGGTCAACTTAGTTTGCCGTTTCTCTTTTCCCATGTTTCAACCTCGATACATTACAATAAACTAACGTCAAGCTTCACCTGTTAGCTAGAGGTTTCTCTAACTCTCTCCATAAGTGGTTGCCGATGGTGTAATTGGCGGCAGTACCGTAAGGCGAAACCCAAACACGAAGACTGTTTGCGAGCTGAACAGACGGCGGTGAGAAGTCTTACCGGCAACTGGTAATCGGCTTTAAAATTGTAACCCCTGCCTTGGCATTGATTGCATTTGAAAAGGATAGAAAAGTTACAATGTCCTATGCCACAAAATTCCACATTTCAAAATATCACATTTTAAATTTATAAACTGGTTTTAAACCTCTAACAACCCCTAAGAGTAACAAGCATCTAATTTCACCCTGAATCAAACATAAAGGTCGCCAGAATAAAATAAATAATAACCAACTAAAGAAACTCTTGATTTTTGTACAACTTGTGTAGAGAACAGTACAGAGAATATGTATTATGATGTTACGGTGAAAAGGGTTAATTGAATGCAAGATTACGCTTTTGCTTCTTCTCTAATGAGTCGTCTATTGTTTACCATCCTTTGTTTCTAGTAAACAAACCTTAACTCGAACCTTAAATTAAAGCATCCATGATTGCCTATCGCAATTAAAACAGTGCTCAGTTCGTGTCGCCTCTTTGCCGGTGGAGGAACCAACCACTCAATTTTTTGTATTGCAACCAGAAAAGAAAACATTCTTTGAGAGTTTGACAACGTAAGTGTACACATACATTGTATTTAGAACTATGTTCAGACTAGAACTTTTTTGTTATTCAAGAAGTCGCAAACATTGCCAAGAAACCTGTGAACTTTTGATAATTTCATCTCGTGTGTTTGCACTTTTCTCTTTCTTAAAACGTTCAAAACTTCAAGCCCTGATATTCCTCGGAGGTTTACCACTGTTCTTCAACAGAATAGAAGGCTAGACTTCAAATATCATCTGTAAGTCATACCACAATTAGGTCGAAGGAAAATTCTTAAACTTTGTTCGCATGACAGATCATAAATTTTTGCACTCTGTCAAGCAGGGCACAGAGTTAGCTAAAACAGATTCTTACAGATACTTTATAGTTCATTTACATCACTCATGCTGTTTTTTTCAGAGAACATTTATGTAGAAGATAGAGCATATTCCTGGATGGCAGAAATGTGTCTTATTTGTTTCATTATTCATTATTCTTGTGTATTATGTGAAGAGTGTTTTACACACATGATTGAAGATGTGCATTGTTAGTCACAACCGAGTCAAAGCGCAGTCGGCCGGTGCGGTCAAAAATGTTAACGCAACCAAAATTTTTTTTCAAGAAAGTATGATCTGTTTTGCAATAGTCCTTTATATCTGGATAACTGCATTTAGTGGTGAGATATGAAGACTGAGTGTCATAGAACAATGCAGTTTGCTTCGTAACACAGTCAAGTGCTATCAGTAAATAGATACCAAGTTATTTCAACATGTCTGACAAAAAGCAGTTTTCTTCCATTCAGTAGCGTCTTGTTAACATTCTAGGGCATGTCAGGTTCGTTTCTCGTTTTTTTAATATTTTAACTTTTTATCACGGGCTAGATGACATGAACCCCACCCCCCTCTTCGAGGTAAACCTCAATTGTCGATGTCTTGGAAATTTTCACACGGTCAAAAAAATGTTCTCTGTCAGCGGAAAAGATATAAGTGACATCTATTCCGATTTATGCTTTACTAACTACGTTTTCTTTTTTTTTTTATCGAAACGCCAGGTTAATTGTGCAAGCACAGGAGTAACTGCCTCTCACGGCTGCAAACACCAAGATGTCCCGTTCAAAAACTCTCCTTCGAGAAATAATTGACTCTAACCACCGAAAACTAAACAGACACTCGCGCTTTGCTCCTCCGAAGACAAACACTCTTAAACACCTGCAGAACGAGTTCAGAAAAACAATTCCCCGCCCGCGATATGCATTTGTCACGTTGGTGATGTGTGGTGACGATTATGTTAAAGGAGCACTAACCTTGGCTTGGTCTCTAAGGCAACAGAAAACAATGCACGAACTGATAGTCATGGTTACGCCTGACGTCAGCGTTTCAGCGATGAAGCTACTGCGCAAACTCTATGATCGCGTAATCAAGGTGCAGTACATTAAAACCAGAGTAAAAAGTGCCCTGAGAGGGAAAAAGTACCGAAGCGAACATAAATGGATAGAATTCAGTTTGACAAAAGCGCGCATGTTAAAACTCACAGAATATGACAAAATAGTTTGGTTGGATGCAGATTCGCTTGTTCTCAACAATATCGACCACCTCTTTGACCTTTCAACGCCAGCTGGTGTGTGCTCCAGCATCAGAAATCATGATTATTGGCATGGCTCTAAGATACCCGAGTTAGAAATCGAAAGCGCTGTTGAGAACAATTATGGTGTCCATGGCTGCATCATGGTGCTGACACCAAATTTAGATCATTACCTGTTGGCAAGTTCTCTGCCTCAAGTTGGAACCACTGCTAACTTTGTCGGACCTGATGAATTTTTCTTCACGCAGTTGTACAAGACTGAGTGGCATCATGTCCACATCAAGTACGCATGTACAAAGTGGTTTTACGAAATGCGAGACGTAAAACCGAATGTGATTCATTTCTTTGGCGACAAACCATGGGAGGACGAGAGCGACTGGGACGGAGTAAGAAAGTGGAGGGAAGCAGCGCAAGGCATGGTACGAGTCTGTCCTAAAATGTCGGATTTGTTCGTGACACTAGGTCAGCCGAGTTCTCGACGAAGTCAGCACGAAGTAAGGTTCTCAGCGAGTTGTGAAGTATCCGGAGTAAGGACACAAAGTTCAACGCCGCCTAAATTGCGTTTCGGGAACTCTTGAAAACGTCAAGATAGCATTATCGTCTTATTTCGCCAAAACGAGATATCGTATAAATACTGGTTTACCTCGCAAATTCAGAGGGACAGATGGTACACATCAAGCTGATATGTAGTTAGCACCATATTCTCTTACCAATGTTGCCCTTGAGTCATACATCAAGGTCATGAGAATAAGAAAATGATAACCTACTTAAGTTGATTGTTAAACAAATACTGATGTCTGGGCTTAAAGGGTTAAAGCCTGTCACAAATACACCTAGTAATGGCCCAGTTAACCATCGAGTTTTTTCACGCTTAGTTCTAAGGCATCGGAGCGCGAAAATCCAAACAATTGAAGATCTGGAGTTCGAAACCTCGAAAGGGATTAAAAGTTTTCCTTTGTCACACGCTTCTGACACAACAAATGAAGTCTTTTTATGATGAAAATTAAAGAAGTTACTGTCAATCTAGCTAAGGAGAGCTTGTCGATTGACTGTTGTAAAACCAAACCAAAGTACCGGTTAGCACAACAGCGAATCAGAAAAAAAGAAAAGTCCCAAGTTATCGATGAGAACTGAAGCAAAATCCAGCAAACTGCCCAACTAGCGATTGGGTTTAGTTAGGAATCTGATTCACTGCAAGGGAGAGGCGAGTTTTCTGAACCAATCACAGAATGAAGTAAAGAACACATAATGCAATCACGTTCGATACTAAAAATTCTCTGACTGTCGAGATCTCTTTAGCCGTTTTCCAGTGCGTACCCTAAACAAGAAAGACATTCAGCGTACCGTCTCAAGTGAATTCTTTATATTCGGCCTACTTCTTGAGAACTCTTAACCTATATAAATATATATTGACAACTTTAAACGTTTAACCATGTATACTCCATCTCGAAAGCTTGGAAGAAATATGTTCTCTATTCAGTATTCTCCCTGTTCGGTATTGGTGGAGGACACAACATGAATTCTCTTTGATGACTGCCTCTCTTGTCTTTTTGAAAATGAACAGGAATTGGTTTAAATACACTTTAATTTTTCCTTTATTGAGAGAACCAAAGGAAGAACAAACACAATGAGACCACGTGCCACATGCATCCAAATAAGGGAATGAAGGCAGTCAATCAGAAAGCGAGGACGAAAGCGCGTGCCTGTACCAATGTCCATTCAGATGCGCGTCAACTGGTGCCAAATGTGGGCCGGAAAGAAATCTTCAAATTTCTGTATGATTAGGTTTAACGGTGTTGATATCCAGCTCAAGCACTGGAAATAAAACAAAGAGAAAACGGCTAAAGAAAACAAACTCACAAGCAAAAAGGAAAAAAAAAAAAACTTTAAACAATACCACAACAACAAAAGCTCCAAGGGAAAGCAAAAACAAGAGGCCAACTTATCGTAGCTTCAATGATTCAAAGATTTTTGCGTGGCAAAAAATATTTAGCCTACGAGAAAACTCTGATTATTAACGCTGTAGGACGCAGGTTTCTCCACCCGCGCGAATATTTGAGACGAGTCCGAGAGAGGTTTGCCTGGGGCCTGGCACAAATGCATGTCAGTCCTAGACCCCTCGCCGGCTCGCGTTGCACAAGGCCTTCCTACTTTTCCGCGGGCAAAGAAACGCTCGTGCCGAAGAAACACTCGTGCCGATGAAACGCTCGTGCCGAAGAAACTCTCGTGCCGAAGAAACACGCGTGCCGATGAAACGCTCGTGCCGAAGAAACTCTCGTGCCGAAATGCTATTGATGAGAGCCTGCTTAGAGGCCACATAAAATACTGACTAGTTCCCTTATTTTCTGCTTTAATTCGCGTCCACCGTTTCGCTGTCGAAAACATTTTGGTCTTGCACTCGCGTTTCCATTAGAATCAACAGGTCCCTGATATTAATGTGAGCCTAAGACAGTGGTCCTTATTCTTCTTCACTTACCGTTTTGGCCGCGTTAGCCATAGGCTCGGGGAACTGATGCGTGAGAAGAGCCAGCATTGCAGTGAACGAACAGAGGGCAGCGGTAAAAAGAATGAAGAAAGGAAGTTCTTTTTTGGGATAAACGGACAATTCGTGATGATCTGAAACAAAGCAGAACTACACTATAGTGAAAGTAGACATGTCTTCTTCCATATGTAACACTATGTAACGTTATTTCAAAAGAACAGCATCATCTCAGCTGAGAACAGCAATCCATTTAAAGTTTTGTGCTCAGTCACCAAGCTTCTGAACCAGGTCGAGGCTGAAGGTTACCTACCCATGATTCAAAGCTTATGGCCCCTCATATCGAGAACTCCTCTGTTATGATATTACGTGGTTCCATGTCAATGCCATGACAAGGTCAAAATAAGCCTTACTCCTGGAAAAACCTGAAAGGAAAGCTGGGAAGGAATAGACTAAACCTTACTTGGAAGAAGTTCTCTGTCAGCGTTTTCGGTGCATGCTGGGTACGGATGAAATAAATGTCCCTTCTCCAGAGGGTAGGGGACGAGACGGAATGCTGCGTAAAGAAAAAAATATGTGGTACGTAAAAACTTCCCTTCCTTAACCGAAAAAATAGAGAGCAAACTAGCATAAGGAAGATTACCAAACAATATTCAATATGAAAATACAAATTATACAAGCGGTGAGAACTGCTCACTGATAAGAGACTTGTGTCTGGTTTTAGCATGACCACTTACTCTGGTTTCGGTTTCAGACGGAAATAATTTTGCAAATCACGCTAGGGTGCAAACTGCTCTATTACGCAAATTCAAGGGTAATTTTGTATTGGTAACTGAGTTGACAACCCACAATGGCCACCGTTAAGAGTTTCAAAGCTGACATTACGAGCGTTAGCCCTTCGTCAGAGCGAATGGTCTGCATTGGTCAGCCGCGTTTTCCAGCGCTTTGCGCAATTTGCTTGATTCAAGTGTGAGTTTTCATTAACTTCCAGTAACAAATTTTTCATCGTGGTGATTGATCATTGTCATTATTTTGGCCATGGTTCTACGAAACTCGAAAAAGTCACTTAAATCTACTCAAAATTCCACAATACATTGATTGCATTGTAAGACAGCAAGATATTCTTATAAAATCGTGGCAATAAAAAAAAAGAAAAAAAAACACCCATACTTCCTTCCCAAGTACAGTGCAGTAAATTGAGCGCGCCTTCCACTCTTTTCCAATGAGGTAAATGGAAAAACGCGTACGCTATCGCTTCGCTGTCTCCTCGTTTTAAAATATGCTCTGGAGGAAGAATCAAACTCTTCTGTTCCAGGAGATACTGTAAAAAAAATTAACAATAAAAACAGAGAAAATAAAAAAAAAATAATGAACTTAGGAGTGTGCGTGACAGGCAACAGATCCCCCGCCAAGAAATTTTTGGATGGTTTCCTTTTTCTCATCCAATCATAAGACAAGCAGCGACAGAAGTGACACACATAGCCGACGTTTCTTTGGTTTTTCAAATCTCGCGACAGCATTAATAGAGAGAAAATTTATTGTCAATCGTCAACAAGGTGGAAATAATAAGCAAGGCTGGGTGCAAAATAATTAACGATCGGCGAGAAAGCAACAAAAGGGGCACAAGTGATTAATGACAAGGTGACAAACTAACAATTGGCCAAATTCTTACTTTAGGAACATGAGGATTAAACTCCACCGCTCTATGTATGGCTTCTACTGCAGCCATCTCCGCTGGACTTAGCCCTCTTTTGGCTGCAATTTCAGGAGAGAATCTGTAAAGCAAAGAGGAATAATTGTGAAACCCTAACTATCCTAACCCATGAAAGGAGTATCTGGAATCTGGTGCTTTGGTCCTTTCACTCCCACCATCCGAAGCTTTCTTCTCCTTCAAGTTTTGGACGTTTTCATAAATGGGTAAAAAGAATTTGTTATTATTTCTATGTGATACCCTTTAGCTGATAAGTGTCTCTCTTCTCATTCCCTTTTTTGTCATAAACGCGATGATAATACGAGGCGAAGTCACAAGTTAATACACTGTGGGTCTGGGAGGTCAACAGTATTGGGTTGAAAGAGAAATGGGGTTGCCATGTCAACTTTAGCCTTTAAACCTCTTTCGCCATTTGAAAACTGGTGTTTTCCCGGAGCATACAGTCAGCCACATTAGGTAAATTTAATACAATTCATTTCGCTGAAACCCTGACGCCAAAAAACGACATAGGAAAAACTGCTTCTTTTCACAAAAAGCATCCGAGTGAAAAGAACATTCTTTGCCTTCAGCCAGAATTTTAATGCAATTCCAGTTACAAAATATTTAACATAAATTCCTATTCATGCCACTCTTTCTTTCGAGAGACCTGCCACCTTTGATAAGTTTCCCATTTCAAAACAAAAGCTCATTTAACAACTAGCAATGCACCCAAAAGCCTGTTTTCTTACTTGTCACAGACAGCTCTGGCCTTGAGAAGTGCAGCCGAGTAACATATTGTAGCCGACTTTGGAAGACTTATATCTTGACAAGGAAAAAAAAGCAATTAATATACTTTAGCGGGACAAAGAGTAAAAACACAAACCAATAAACAAACAAAAATTAACAAAAAAATTACAGATTTAAAACACTTACCATCGTATTTAGCTAAAACTTGCTGTTAAAGAAAAATAGAAATGTGTTACAAGTAAGTATAAAGACAAGTGTATAACACTCTGACATAGGGAATAACAAATCTTTTATTTATCTTTACAAGAGTCAAGCAGCTCTCTCGTTTATTTCATTACCTGTACTTCTGAGTAAGCTTGCATTTCAAGCAAAGCCTCCAGAAGATTCTCGTGGATGTTTAGAACACTCATAAGAGGAAACTCTTTCATGAGCTGCAAAAAAAAAAAAGGAATAACTCAGTAAAGTAATGACTCAAGTAAAAAAAATAAAAAAAATTAAAGCAATAGATCACATATATGCAAATTGATCTGAAGTGGTCACTGATCAGCTACAGAGCTGTGCTTCAAGAAGTACTTCCAAGCGCATGATAGCTTTTGTCACAGAAAACAGAAGTCTCAGTACTTAAAAGTAGCAGTCTGAACTTGTGCCAGGTGGCTCATCTAGGCAGAGCTTATCCCAGTTTTCATGGCAAGACAAGACTACTCCCCCACACCCCTCCTCCCTGTTTTGCACAAGAACACAACGACCTCTCAACCCATAGTCCAGTGCACTCAGCATTAACATAGTTAAGTCATCATCAAGCAATTAAAATTATGAATACGCAAAGTTAAGAGAATCAAACATACATCTCTCATCATTTTAATAGCCTCCTTTACTCTTCCAAGCTTTCTTGCACACATGGCTAGTCTTCGTCTTATATAAACACAGACATTGGTGTCTCTTCCTAGAATAAAAACAAAAAAAACAAACATAAAAACTTAGAGGCTTAGTTGTCTCTGCACTTGTAATATTCAGATGCACAAAGGGGATGGCTCATTTCTATCACTTATGAAGGGAAAAAGCTCCTGAAACAGGCTGATAACAACATATGGAGACTAAGAAAACATTATT